CTTTTGAAAATTAATATTCAAATATACATAGATAGAGAAACTTTTATTCTTTATATTATAGCCAAAGTTTATTAATATAATTATAAGTTACAAGTTATAAGTTATAATTATAAGTTCAAGATTACTTATACAATATATTATATAACTGTTAATGTAATTAAATAAGATATTTTGATAAATTATGATCTTTATCTACCAAAATTGATTTATTTTAAAAACAAGTTTAATTTATCATCCAAATATCAGACTAGATAAAGAAAGACTTGCCAAATCCGGAAAGATATATTCTACATATTATCTTTCATGTACAATCATACTAATATTATTAATTACTGATTATACAAATATATAATAATATAATTGTGCAAATATATCAATTAATATTTTATTGTACTAAATAATAATTTTGTGTTCAGCAAACAAAAAATTTTTGCTGCAAATTTGCATGGTGTACTCTTATAGAAATTTTTTATTTTACAGATATTATCAAACAAATGAATTATGGAACATTACACAAATTATTTTACATATGCATCTAGATAACTTACAATTAAAGGTATATGTTATAGAAGAATTTATATCTAATTTGATAGCGAAAAGAAATAATTATCCCGTTCTGTACGTCACACGAAATTTAATTACTGGCATAACAGAATTCAATTATGTCACTTCTGATTTTATTAACAAGGATACAAAACATCTTCCAGCATTCGTGACATATACGATAAGATCACTGATAAATTTTGAAACAATTTTTCCCAGTAAATCTTTTTGGCTATCACCGCAAAAACCGGAAAAATTATTGGAAATACATGATGAACATGATTGGATTGTAGTCAATATACAACAGACAGGTAAATATAAAAACATTACATTTATTATGTTTTATCTTGGTATCTTTTTTGCTTTTTTAATCTTATGCACCCTAATGCTCACATGTAACACATGCAGTCGCACACTCGTACGTGTCACTCGCAAGCACAAATTCTCAGACTATTCGTACACTCTCACGCTATTCGCTCTTACAGTTTTTTATAACAAATTGTTCAAAGTATTTTATAAAAAAATTAATAATTTGAGGAACTGTTTCACACAAAAAACGATATTAGAAATTATTTTTTAATAAATTCTTTCAAGAGACTTTAATGATGAAAATTTTTCTTTTTATAATAGGATATTATCGTGTTAATTATGATACTGAAAATTGGCGTAAACTTGCGCAACACATGAATTCTACGAATTATATCGACATACATGTTCTCAATCGGGCCCAAATCATAGATGATGCTTTTCACTTCTTCATACATAAACAACTTGATTATGTTACGTTTTGGAACATTTCTGCATTTTTGTCACGAGAAACGAATTATGTGGTATGGTATCCTATGTTTAAAGCTTTTGAACAAATGGCTGTTATGATTTCAATTAAAGGTGCTAACAACGTAATGGTAAGTAATAGCAAACTTCTATAAAGATTGCATCAAAATATTATTTGTACAGAGTACTTCAATACAATCTGATGTCCTTGAAATGTCATATTCTTGAGGTCGATTTCTAAAATAATTTTCTTTTTAGCAAAATTTTGTTCAAAGATTAGTTTTTGAGACATAATTGAAAATAGTTCGCTACTTGTACACACGTGAGTCCGGTATAGCGAGCAGGCACGGACTGTGCAACGCATCATAAGAGTAACGTGAAACATTTCACAGTCACAGTGCGTGTAAATTTCGGACAAAATTTTGCAAGAGGAAAAACCGTTTCAAAAATCGCTTAAAGATATGATATTTCAAGAACATCAGGCTGTTTTGTATCACTTTGTTGTATATAAAGAAAGTTAAAATAATTTATACATGTATAAATATACATACATATCTTTTACAGAGAACAATAGATTGAAATTTATATTATTTATCAATTTTTAGGAAAAGATGGAAAGTATATTGAGTGGAGTTCTGAATCAAATAAAATACAAGCCACAACCATACGAAAGCGATCTCACTGAATGTTTAAGAGAGGAAGCCGTAAAATGGGCATGTATTATTGCTAACAAAGAATGCAGAGAAGTAGCCCATATGCAAATGACAAGAGATCTATATTCTGAAAGTGACATGTAAGATGTTGTACAACCACAATATTTATATAAACAATTTCTGTTGCATTATGTATACTTATATTCTACACATCAAATACTGTACAAGATAAATTATTTTATCATAAAAATGAGCTAAATTTTTGTACGAAATACTTTTTCTGGTAACGCAGTTTTGTAACGCAATCGGAATGGAAAGGATGGATGTATTGTAATGGTTTGGTGTCAGCAAACAGCACCATTTGGTATGACGTATGGGACAAATGGGCAGCGACAGATGATATAAAATTTTTAGAATATTTAACTTGCAGTGAAGATCCTGGAGTCATTTCTAATTATTTGCTGTTGAATTCGATTAATAGTTTTTTATTACAACACGACAATACACGTGCTCACATATTTTTTCTTATCGTTGCGAAGCATGCAAACAATGATATGGTTTGCGATTTTATATTGCAAAATCTCAACAATAATACACTTATGTTCACCTCCAACACGTAATAATAATTTTTTATAATTATATCTTTATATTTATTTATATATAAATATTTCTTATGTTTATAATTTTTATCCATCCGCGTCTTTTTTATTTTTATTGCCTTTTTAAATAATAATATTTATCACTTTACTTTTTGGCAGGCAACGTGACAAAATTGCAATATTTATTGTTATGATTACGCACCAACATGCTGTAAAGCAAATAAATAAGGTATATTTTTCTAATTTAAATAACATTTATTTCTTAACTACTTAAATATTGAACTCATTTTTATTGGTTTCTTATGTACATGACATATTTGAACCGATTACCTTTAACACAACAATTTATGCTTTCATAAACTGTAGTGCAAAAAAATTTTAGCTTTATTGATATTATTGAAATAATTTATCTTAGGTACTTGAATTCGTAAAAACTAACTTGAAAGAAAAGCGACTAGTTGATGCTGTTGAAAAAAAAGGTAAAAAACGAAGAGACGAGTATGGAAGACAAGTTAGAAATTATGGGATCGTCGGTCTACGTGGGTTTAAATAATATTTATTTAATTTAAATATTCCTTCTTAGACTGCAAATTTTTGTTAAAGAAGATATGTGTCTTCTTTGATTTACAATAAAAAAAAATATAGAAAATTATTGCACATTTATTTGACAACTTTAAATGCCTTATAGTCCACATTGAAGAAAGAATCAGCTCGGATGACAACATGTGTTTGGGAAAGTGCAGTGTAACTTGCAAGGAAATAATTTTCGTTAAGAATAAAATAATATATTTTGTATATTTCTATGCCAAAAAATTTTAAATATTGGAAGTAGTAGGATGCAAAGTAATATAAATATTTATGTTTAATTGTTTATATGGAAAATCTAAAAACATAATTGTCATACATAAATTAAAAATTGTTTCTATCATATTATATTGTAAGCGATTCTTTATTATTAGCAATCGCCGATATATCGAACTCACACAATTTCTTTAGTTTTCATGTATTTCTTAGTAATAAAAATACATCTAAGTTTCGCCTAGAAAAAATCGTTGTTTTTCTGAGACGCTTAATTTAACAAGTAACAGAATATGATTTCTTCTACCGATTCGATGATAAATAACATTCTTGAAATTATCGTCGTTTATATTGGTTCTATTTTCAGATCAGGAATATTGCTTATTTAAACTTGTAAGAATGCATTTAATAAATAAGGCAACCCTACACTGTTTTAAGTAGATCGAGGCAGTCTTAAACAATCCGCAGCAGTCCTGTGATACCTAAAGCAGTTCAAGAAATCAACAAATCCGAGATCATCCTAAAGAAAGAGAAATCCGACGGACTAGGCGAATCGAGCGGTAGAAAACAAATTATGGAGCACATCTCTGACGATATCTCTTGCATTAAACATGATTGATCAATTCATGTTTTTAATTTGCTGGTCTTTTGTTTTCCCTTTAATCGCGCTAGCCAAATGAGCAATAACAGACCTTCCCACATATTTTGACAATCATTAAACAGCCAACAATGTATTTGGGCTGAGTTCCACTTGGTGATCGCAACGCTCGCGAACATTATCTATCTTTCTTTAACTTTCGATGAAAAACAAAGATAAAATGATTCCACAAGCGTTGCGATCGCCAAGTGGAACGTACCTTTGGTATAATGCTAAGGCTGAGTTCCACTTGGTGATCGCAACGCTCGCGAACATTATCTATCTTTCTTTAACTTTCGATGAAAACAAAGATAAAATGATTCCACAAGCGTTGCGATCGCCAAGTGGAACGTACCTTTATAGTTTACACTAAAGTTCAATAGTTAATATTATTTTTATATATAATAATACTTGGAATATTGCTTTATGATTTCGTGTGGAGCGAAAGCAACACGCCGCTGGTCACTTAGTCGCGTGAAGCGAAACTCAGAAAAGCATTTTCGTTGTCAAGACCCGCGCTACGTCGTCTCATAAAACCGATTGATGTTAGGTTTGGTGGAAAGGAGATAAAACATATGTTTGCTCGCTTCTACAAACCGAAAGCCGAGCGCACACGGACACGTGACGTCAACAGGTCTCGGTTATGAGCCTCTCCGGGGAATACTAGCAGCTCTGTCCCGGCTACTATTGCTCTCCTTGCCCGAAAACTACATATTGGTTCTTACAGGAAGGCTCTCTCCAGTATGTTATAGAGCAATGGATTTTACCAAGAAGTTGAAACAATCAGTCTTTACCATCGATGTTAATAATAATTTGGCTTCTCTTTTATAATCAGTAAATAAAATTACAATCAATTACTGTAAGTACATATATGTATTGAGATAAAATTGATATTTCTAGATAACCAAATTTGAAAATAAATTTTGTTTAAAGGAAAATGAGTAGCGATTTTTGTCCACAGAACGGCTTTTTTTAAACTTATATTCTCGTGTGCTTCAACACCCGTTGAATTTATTTCTGAAAGTTAAAATTGTTTAAGCCCCGGAAAAAGTTCTTTAATTCATCAATATTTGCAGAATGTGATCTTATGTAGAATAGTGTTTTGCATTTTTTCTTGTTAATTATATGACATATTCCATCATTATTTATTAATATATATTTACATTATATTATGTATTATTTTATAAATTTTGCAACTTTTTATTTTTTTATATTGTTTTATATATTACATTATTGAACATTTACTTTTACATCATTTTTATTAAAATTAATTCATTTTGTTAAATTTAGTAATAAGCTGAAAAGAGAGAAAATAAAGCGAAGGAGAAGTGAAAAGAAACTTCAAATAGCGGTACTAGATTTATTCGCTGCTTTGCGCATGCGCACTTTATTTTCGGCTTCATAAACATCACAGGTGCCGACAGAATTGCACTACGGCATTTCCTGTATTTGAAAAGAAATAAGCTTATAATCAATTGTAGAATAATCAAATCTTCTTTTTTACATTTTGTACAATGATAGTTTTTAAAATATTAAATGGATTAACGTTGATCAAACATGAATATTATTTTTTAAATATTATTTTACATTTCATCAAATGTCTGTTACTTTTTATATGGCAATAAAATCATAAAAATTATTTAAAAACCAAAAAGTATCTGAATCACATTGGTGCTAATCATATATCAAAAATTTTGAAAAAAAATATTAGAAGAATAAAAACAACCGATCGATTATGTTTGAACACACATTTTCTGCGAAAATGAAATATTAAATACATGAAAAAGAATTTCGAGTACAAAATGACGCAATATGAATCGCATTAACATGTCTACAACAGCTATATTGGTTTAGTACTTGTATTTTCTCAATGATAATAATAATAATAATAATTTTAATAATAAAAATAATAATATATAATAAATCGCAGAATTATCTACAATACTTGTTCGTGTATAGAAAATCACAAAATATACATAAAACGGACACAGTAAAATGTCAGAGCGTATAAACCAGTTCCGACTACTTCATCGTCTAAACATAATCAATAATTCTGTTGTTCCGTTAACAAACCAGAAGTAAACGCGATGAAGAGTTGAGAGAGCTGTATGCGTGTGTGTGGATGAACTATTGATCATATATAATTCGTGTATTTGCATATACCTGACTATAGTGAAAGCTATGCTTTTTTTCTGACAATCAAATATAATATAATATAATATATATATATATATATATATATATACATATATATATATATATATTTATATTTATATATTATAAGGGTGTCCCAGACCGAACGCACGTATTAAATGGCACATTCCTGAAATAATTTTGAGATGAAAATTCTAAAATGTCGAGGCTATAATAGTGTTTTTAAGAAGCATTTAAAATTAACCAATTAAATTGCTCCAAATTCACGCGCTCAGATGTGATATATTCCACAGTAATAGAGATATCTTCACATATTAATCTGTTTTTAGACACAGATATAATTACATACAATAAAAAATATAAACAGATCGATATCTGAAAATACCTTCATTATTATGCAATGTATTACAAGTGAGCGAATTTGGTGCAATTTAATTGATAAACTTTAAATGTTTTTCATTTAAAAACTATTATAGCCTCGACATTTTAATATTAGAACTTTCATCTCATAAGGATTTCAGAAATGTGCCATTTCAATACAGTGCATTCGGTTGGAACACTCTGTGTGCTGTGTCTGTGTCTGTGTGTGTGTATGTGTGTAATATATAATATATACATATACATTTAATGCGCGAGAAAGTACGGTTACACGATTCCCGGATTTCGTAAAATTAGGACAAACGCAGCAGGCTCTCGCAAATGCGCGGACTCTCTTCGCAAGACGCACAGGATCAAGGATCAGCTCCAAGACGGATATTCCGTACTATCTTAGCAGTTTTTTGATTATCGAAAAACATCGTCCGAATTAACGCTGGCGACAAGTTGATATGGTGCATCTTCCAATTACCGAAATATATGGAATGACACCAACTCACTACCGTAATTGTCGCGATTTGTTAATGATTTAATATATAGCGATGTATATGTGTGTGCTAATGCAGGACAGAATATTGTCGGGTACTCGAAGATCCTTAAGAGGAAACCTTGATCCTTCAGAATCTGGTTTCGCCTGACGGAAGCGAGTCCTTCGCGGTTTAACATCGATTCTGACACTCGCATGTTACGTAGCCACTCGTTTCCTATTCGCTCCCACAACCCTGGTAATATTTACATAAATCTATCACTAACTAGATTCACATTCAGGCAACTTCTTATACGCGGCACGCCAACTGATCCGCCGGAATGACACAAATCATATTAAATCGACGTTATATTTCGAGGTACTGCATTCGAGGATCCTTCATCCTTACAAACGCTCTTTCATTTTAATCCTTGATTACACATATCTTCAAATAGAGCAATTTGAAACTCTTAAATTGTTGAATTCCAGGATCTACAGATTGATGAATCTTTAAAAAAATCAAATCCTGAATTTCATAAAATTTAAATTGTACAACTTGCAGCACATCAAAAATAGCCAATTTATGAAGCCTTTGTTGTGTGTGTATGTTTAAGTTTCGTAGATAAAAATTATCATAAACCGTGAATCTTTAATTGTAAAAATCTTCGAATTCACCAAATCTGACATGTTTGTGTCGGTGATTACGAAAGCGGACCAAGTCAAAAATCTTGAAAAATTGATTTTATTACTTATTTTGTCTTGCATCAATTCATAAAGAAATATTTCAAAACAAAAAATATACAATTTTTAGTCCACTTTCGTAATTACCGGCACATTTAATTTCGTAGATTTTTTTCAATCTTTTATAATATGGATTCTGCCATAATAGAATCCACTTAAGAATTCTTAATGCCACAATTTCCAGAACTTCGCTTTACGCGAATTCTTGCGATTTTTTTTTTTTATCATTTAAATACATCGAGATTTCGCTTGGTTCGCACAAGTTGATATAAAACTTCAACACAAATCAGTCTTTAACGGAAAACAAGATGTTCTCTCAATGTAAGAGCGAGTCAAATCCGTGAAACAGTCGGCCGCCTTTTATGACGTCCAGTCACAGAAGAAAAATAAAATTTCGGTGCAATTACAACAGTCGCGGGTAATTTACGAGTGACGAATAGGCGAGGCGCGATTATTATTAGTAAGACAGTTACTTTTTTTAACGGGGTTTGTTAAATGTTTCGCTCGTGCATAGCTACGCGAAAAAAAGATACGTTTTGAAAAGCCGCGAGTGCATTAAAGACCATTCCACCACCGATTCTTCACGAAGAGATTTCGCACTTTAATCCTTAAGCAACTGCATCAATAGAACTCTGAAGCGATCAAAAACTTGCGAGTTCTCGTAAAGATAAACGTCTTAAGATCCTTTCTTCAATCAAAATATATGCAATATAACTCTCGCTACTCGATCCTTTCGTATATCAACATTTCGATCGCAGTTAAAATTATAATCCAATATTTCCAATTGTAATTTTGATCAATAATCGCCTAATCAACAATTTTACGTCTTCGTTTCTATTTATGCATCCGCTCAAGACTTAAATTGCAGATGCGTACAATTGATTTTGTATACAATCGGGTATAACGCTATCATACAGGTGTATAGATTCTACCCTTACCTGAATTCACGAGTTTCCTGCCGTAGATTAATTTCGGGTTTGCCGCGGCCCTTCATACAAGACCTCTTTACATTAAAAAAAATTGATTATTTATTTACAAAGTAAAACATCGTACACAGTCTGCGAAACGATACACTATATTTCTAAATAAAAAAAACGTTCGAGATTAATAAAATAATAACTATCATTATCGTTAATAACTTCGAGGTAAACGCAAAAAGAGGGCTGTGACACGACCCTTCATGTACAGAGTTCCTTTCCGCGATAAAAAAAGAAATGCATATCCTCGCAATTTAAAACTTCACAATTAAAAATTAATAGTTAACAGCCATTAACATAACCTTATAATTTCAAAACGACGCAGGAAAGACCGTAGGTCGCCATGACCCTCCTTACAAAATCCGTATAAAATAGAACAAAAAAATAGTCGAGTAACTTTAAATAATACATTCGCTATTAATAACACCTATTTAACAGATACTCGCTAAAGTAATTACTATTTAACAGACAATTATTATTAATAGCTTCGTATGAGGAAGGGCCGCGGCGCCCTAAGTAAATCCGGATAAGGGCGAAATTTCCTTAGAGACCTATAAGCCCAAGAATGAGCTCAATTCTATCGCTATTACGTTTAAATTGATCGATCACATAGCGGGACATTTTGTTCGCATCGTATCGCTTCTTCGTTCCTTCCCGATCGGTTGATCGATCGGAAAGGAATCTTTAAAAGGGAAATGTGTTGATTTACATGATTCGACGTGATCTCGTCGAAAACATTGGCACGCGATAATAGGTTTAGCGAAATGCTATAAATCGAGGGTTCTAGAATACATGAATCTTGGATCACAACCCTAGATCGTGATATTTTAAGGGGAAAACCTACTTTATAAGGCCAAAAAAAAGGTAATTTTTTGTAATTTTTTTTTAAAAGGAAAAATAACGTTTATGGTTTTAAGAATGTTTAGTACCTATTTTTGGAATATTAGGAATTTAACAAAAATTTTACAGATTGTTCTTACATATGTTCGGAGACTTATGACAAAATCCGGAGTCGATTCACTGAAGCAATCAAAAGTTATAAGGATTTTAATTTGCAACAAATTTATCCGTGACTTTATGGAAAACGTGTTGATTTAAGTGGTTAAAATGGATAAAAAAAAATTTTTTTTGTTGAAAAAGTTTCTTTTTATACACTTTTTTGGTCACTATTTTTCTTTTCCATCGATAAAGGCCTACTTTTGGTATTGTGACAAACACAACTAACTTTTATCCGCACGTAAGCATAATTCAGAAAATTCGAAAATTCTCAGAAAAAAAACAACAGAAATTTAAAAGTACATTTCTGCACTCTACTTATGAATAAGATTCTGTACAATCTTTATTACTCAAACTATATGAGAAGAGCATATATTCGTCAAAATCAAATTTCAGCAACTTTTTGCTACGTACAAAACATCCTTAAAACTTTTTGCACGTTTTAATACAACTATTGAAGAGTTCATTCAAATTTTTTGTATACAAAAAAATATTATTAATAATAAATAAACATTTAATTTTACGCCCCCTTTCTAAATGAACCTATAAAATTTAAAAAAAAATATAAATTAAAAATAGTTGTTTAAAGGCTCACTAAAATTAATAAAGTCGAGGTTTGAGAAGGGGATCAAGAACTGGTTATTCACAGTGTTGTTCACAGAGCCGTAGCGCTTATTCACAGTGGCTCACAATCCTCTTAACAGGCTATTTGTCAAAGTTCACACATGTTGCCTCACATTTGCCGTCTCGTATGCAAAAATGTGGTGGCGGAGAACAACTTTTAGTGATTTAATTTAAGTGACTCTCAGATTTCGCCGGTTTAAGATTGTACTGAAGATGGTCCGATAGATGACCGAAACGTATACTCATTCATCTTTTTAAATAAAAAAGAATTTCACAGCAACCACATCCAGCTACGGCTCTTGATCCTTTTCTCATACCTCGACTTTATATAAATTAAAATTTTGTGCGACTTTGAAAAAAAAGTTGCGATTTTCACTAGCGTCCATTTGTTTATGCAAAAAAGAAATTGTTAATATTGATTTTTTTTTAACTTTTTAGGTTCATCGAGGAGGGTTGGCTATTATCTAACTAACGAGCTTTATAAAAAGTCGATTGGTCAAAATACTTTTTTTTAAATCGTGTACACGAAATTGAAGAAAATGCAAAAAAAAAACAAATTTTGAGAAAAACGCGTTTAAAGTTTTCGGTGTACTTGCATACTTGTGCGCTCCCGTTACAAGCGCTGAATCTATCGAAGGACTTCGAATTTCGCTCTAAAATTTTAGGAACATATTCTCGAAGAGTTGTACTATCGATTTATGAAGAAAGAAAATCGACTTTCGACCCTGTAAAGTAGGTTCCCCCTTAAGTTGATGAACGACTTCTTAAATATAGATGTGATACATTTTCACCGATCTTATCGTAATAAACACCAATCCTTGAAATCCTAAGAAATATCTGAGTGTTTTGTTCACGATTTTTGGCTGTATGATCCAATTTCTAAGTCTTGACTGCATCTGCAAATTGACATTTAATCCTTTAATCTGTTGTCGCTCGAGTAATCGATTAGGCCTGCGATCTGTTATCGATGTCCTGGTATTCCGCGCTTGTATATTTGACCAACACATGACCCTTCAATCGTCGATGGCTCCGAACACACGTTTTCCAATAATCTCCTTCGAATATAGTTTTACATCGTGCAAGAGTCCCCTTTCAACAACCTAGGAGAAGCGGCTAAGTGTTATACAGATGACACTCTATGTACGAGGTCGGCACGAAGCCCTCGATCGGCTGCGAGATGCGCCGCACTCTTGTCCAACCGTCACCCTGATCCAACTCGATCATGTACAATTCCTCGCCATCGTACATCGGTATCGAACCTTCGCTAGTCGCTGCAAATAATAATTAAAATCAGAATCATCATAAAAGTGACGTAGCCATTCGCAGTTTCTTTTCAACCTTAATTTTCAAATACTTGATTCTATGTTTGTAAAATTGTGGAAAAAAAGAGATAGGTTATGTTTAATCGTACAAAAGGTAACTATTAGCAAAATATTGAGAGTAAATTGCTATTACTTTGCAATTTGCAACAAATGGATAGAGCAAAATGAGTTAAACGCCGCTTTGTAGAGGAAATCTGTCAATTATATTTCAATATAAAATAAAAGAAATATTGTATATACGATTAAGAAATTAAATACATAATTCTAAAAAACTGCTACAAATTTGAACGCATGACTCATTGTCAGTGATAAATATTTTCGAAGTGTCCATCGGAATCGACATAGAAATTCTTAGTTTTCGAAAACTGTTAAATACACTTTTTAACATGCGCCCAGACAAATTTGTAGCGTTTTTATATTTATTTTAATTACTTAATTATTATATACTTCTTTTATGTTACAAAATTGATGATTTTTTTCTACAAAATAATGTTTAATTTATTTTGCTCCGTCCATTCGATGCAAAGCAATAGTAATTTACTTTCAACACCTTTCCAGTGATCACCCTGTAGATTTAAAGGGACTCACCGTCGAAAGGATAAAGAGCCCGACACGTTCCCAGTGGCGGTTGAGCGTCCACTTCATCGTGATAATACTCTTCGCCGCCGCTGCCGGGCAACGATGTTCTCGATTCGCCGAGGCCAGATTCCGGGCTGTTCGTGGAACTGTGCATCAGTACCATAAAGCGAAAACCGTGTCGTCTAGTGTGAAGTGTCTAATCTACTCAACACCGCAAGCTAAATACTTTCGCGGAAATTAAAGCACCGTGATGCGCACGATCGGATTTACGATTCGGATTCACGAACAGTCACGAATACGGTGAAAACTCCATTCGTCAATTAGCGAAATAGGAAAAGCGACAATGATTCACGTAATAACGCCTCCGCGCATGAGCTCCGTTATTTATGCTGATTAGTTTCGATAAGATAAGAGGGCGATCGAATACAAACTGAAGACACCGCGACATTTCTGAGTGTGGATTTACGGGCGCGGAACAAAAGATTCTTTTTACAATAATAATAGAATATTCATAAAATGCAGAGAAATAATGACGAAATGTTACATATTCCATATCGACAGGACGACGACGGAACAAATTCATCGCGAAAGATCCGCCGATCTCGAAAGCCCCAAGTTCTCCAGAGTGTATGATGTGATCTGTGCATTATCGTATGTATCACCAACATAACTTACTCATGAGTCGGTTGCGGCGTGCCCGGTGCGCTTTTCTTGTGGGCCGGCTGATTCGCATTCGCGTTACACACGCTCGAGTCCGAGGCGGATCTCGAGAGACTCTCCTCGCCGCCCGAATGGCTGCCCCTCCGTGAGCTCAACGGCCTCGTCGCCGAGCCGTTGGTAGTTGGTTTTCGCGGTGCTTGACTCGGGCTGAAAGTGTCACCAGTGCCAAATTACTGACATCTTTTATGAATCTTAAAGTGTACAATATACACGCGTGTTTTCATTTCGAACACAGCCGAGTGAGAAAAGCGCGCGCGCTACTATTCCACATCGTCGAGTATCAACAGCTCATCTGATTTTTCAAATAACCGTTTACGATAAACGACGAGCATTTGGCGCAGATTCTTCCGCAGTCCAACTTCGCTCACCTAGATAAACTGACGCCGGCGCGCATCGCTTCTTCGAGGAAGCCTTGAAACTTCGCCAATTCGGCTCCGAGTTTGTCCAATTTGTTGCTCGACTGATTTAATTGGCCCTCTATGCTCATTGGGTCTCCCAGGGCGGGATTCTGTTCGTACACCCCCTTCATCTTCATCAGGCCGTCCCTCGCCGCGGTCTCCTGCTGGATCTTCGCCTGGATCTCGTCCAGTCGCTGCTGCAGTCGCTTCTTCCGCTGATTCGGCGGCAGATCGCTGCAGTCCTCCTTGGCGCCGTCGCCGTAGCCAGGCACATTATTCTGCAATTTGTCACAATGAGCATCGATTCCCCTCAAGTCGCTTAACTATCTATAACTCCCCGAGACCCAAGAACTTCTTTAACGCAAAGTGCTTAAAATCGACCTAACCTCGTCGGAAAAATCTACAGTTTAATCGGAGACACGATGGAAATTCACTTGAATATTCTAATATCAATCTTTATTAGATTAAATTGATCGCTAAAGCGAATAAAAGAATGTTATCTGACTGCAACTTGAGATTTAGCACATTACAGTGTCTTGGGTCTTAGGAAGGCAACAGAAGAAAGTGTGAGAAAGCTGGGAATATTTTGTTGCAGAAACAACGAGTCTCATTTGAAGATTCTGCGCATTGTTAGTTAAATTGTTAGTGAAAACTAGTGTGTACAAATATACCGAATATATCGATATTGGGATATTGATGAGTAAGTTCGATATCTAATATCGTTCATTGTTCTAAGCAACAATGGATAAGATGAATAAGTGTATTCTCTATGATAAATGATGAAAGAGAAAGAGAGAGAGAGACAATGACAAATGGAAGTAATATTCAACCCTTTTGGCACTAACGTATAAAATTCGGAACTATAAATAAAAATTAATTAATTTATTAACTCTAGAATCTTTTTTTATTTGAATAAACTCGCAGATTCGTACATCCCCAATTTTGCAGACATTAAACTCCATTTTCAGATTCTCGCCACAAATCTTTGACGTCGCAGAGATCGAATTTGTTTAACTAATCTGTGCATTTCGCGGATATAAAAGTTCCTGAAATTTGATTTCCTAGAAGAAAAAAAAAAATTGAGTTGATAACACAATTGTGAAGCGACCCAAATAAGCGATCACTTGTCTCATCTATTTACTATTGCGTCTAAAGAATGAAGAAGACGAGCAAGTCAAGCACTTGTAAGCGTTCAGCTAAAGCACCAAAAGGGTTAATCGGAGAGAGTGACTTGGCGATTGTATAAAAAAGGACAGACCTTTAAAGCTATGCACACCTCGATCAACTTCTGTTGTTCGCATGAAACAAACCCCAAAAGCGTATCATTCAGCGAATGAACAGGATAAACTTTTAGCAGTAGCATGAGCGAGAACTCAGAGATTGTTATTTCGGAAATATTAACCTCGAACAGTACAAGATACTCCACTTATACTATAATGTGAAAGAAAAGCTGATACATCCACTACAATAACAACTATTCTTAATTCCACGGATCTTCAACGCTCGAAACTACAAACGATTCTAGTTTGATTTAAATTTGATTTCATATAAAATTGAATAAATAGTAAAATATGACTTGATTTTTATATTTTGCATTTGAAAATAGTGTTGCGATCGATTAATCTTATACTGATTAAATTAATAAAGGCTGAGTTCGCGCTCTTCTAATATTTTAATGTCGCAAGTAATTCATCTTTAAGAGGCAGATACATAGTTGATATAGTATCGTATATACGTAATTATATGAGCGAGCAAGCGATCTACGAAGTACTTACTAAGTGTGATAATATCCCAATTCATATAGCCCGTGATGATTGGAAACAAGAAGACCACAGGCAGATTGTACCACATCACCAAATTAATAGAAAGTACAGAAGAAAAATAAATTATGCGGTTTGTTATGCGGAGTCATACAAAAGAGAGATTGCAAATTGTAATCTCGTATTGTATCGAAACATATAAGAATGAAAAAAGAGATACAGTTGAACTCGATTCATCGTGATTTATTAAATCTGCACCTTTTTCTATCATATATTCATTTGTAAATTCAAAAACTGTAGCTCCGAAGATTTACAGAATACAGAAATATAACAAATCGATGGTAAATATTTATTATTTTATGATTTTAAGTTTTTGTTAATAAGAATTCTTTTCACGATCAAATTTTTTATATTAGCGAAGAACGAGTAAAAGACGTTCACCTTGGTAATGAAATTTCGCCATCATTGAGTCTGTATTTTTATAAATATCTTATCAGCAAATTTGTTATCAGACATACATTCGTTTCAACGCAAAAGCTTTCAATGAACAGAGTTCCACCATGTCGTAAAGCGCTTAGAAAGTATTATACAGAGGCGAAACCGAAATTGACAATTTAAAAATGCAAAAATACTTTTCAATAATCATAGATAATAGTGCATAAAATATAAACGAAACTGCAGTAAATAAACATTACTGGTCGAAAAAAATGCGGAATCTACTAATGTGCATGCGCAATAGAAATTTATGTGCATAATAAGTTGCAGACCTGTCGGCAAATAAGAATGCAAGAATATATACATAAATAATAAGTTAAAATAGTGAAATAATACGGCAGACTTTTAAAGGATTCTCGTGCATGCTGTAAAAAGTATTCTGCAATATCCTCTGTTTATCCTCCTCGTAATTTTACAAATATAATAAATAAGCAAATTACAGTAGCTCTTCTTTAGAGTCGTGCAAACGAAGATTGGAAAAATAATTACTTTTCAATATGCTAAAACAACCAAATTTATAATTATGAGAATTGTTGCAAAAATATATAAAACAGAACCACCAGATCCCACGATTCCACTCCTTAACAAATAAATATAGGATGGCCAAAAAAGTGCTGTTTCAACAATATACAAAACCAAATAATTATTAATGCCGCGATGAGTAACAAAATATGTAGCATTTATCTTGCAAATTAAATTAAAGTCAGAAAAAAATTTCGCAAAACAAAAATAAGAATCGTTAATTATCTTAAGTATCAATCAGCGCGAGTTTAGAGATTTTTTAAATCTTTTTTGGACATTCGCGCCGAGAATGCCGCACCAACGTAAAAATTCGCCGTGGAAATTCGTTTGCTAGAAAGATATGAAGAAGTAGCTACCTTGTTACTGCTGAAGATTCCGAAGAGGCCGACCCTTTTCTTGATCTTGCCGCCGGAAACGGTGCCCTTGACTGTCAGGTGATTGTGGATCGGCTGCATTACCGGCTGGGCCAACTGGCTGTTGCTGTCGTAGTTCTTGGCTACCGACAGATCCTCGAAGGGGAAGTCCCCGGGCGGCTGAAAGCCGCTCTTGTAGCGCTCGATCACTAGCATCGTGTCCTCCTTCTCGTTGATTTCGTTCGCCGCCTTCTCGATGCCGTCTAAACACTGAGCGATTATCGGCGCCACCGCTCGCTCGATCTCCACCGACTTCATCATGTAGTTTCGCATGTTCTTTATCCTCTTCTCGTCCAGTTCCTGCGGTAACGCGATATATAGAAAAGAGACCGCAACAGTGAGATCAAACAATTGGGATGTTGCTGCTAATTTATTAATCAATTTGTTTTATTCGTCGGATTTTAATTGAAAGCTAAAATTGTAAGATTTGCAAAGTACAAATAATTTATAACAAAGAAAAAGTTGCTGATAAAATGTCAAAATGGTTACCTGAAGATGTTGAAATACTTCCGGCATCGCTGTGTGGTAGTGTAGTGTCTGCATATCATTCGTCTTTTGCAACTGATTCGCGTACTCCGTTTTGGCTTCCTCGCTCTGTTGGGTCTTCATCGTCATGTTCATTCTCTGCTTCTCGACCTGCTCGTCGTGAGAGAAATCGATTATCATGCTTATCTACGAAGAGCTATTTAAAATAGTCCATCAAAATTCGACTGCAAAATCCTTCTTGGAATTTTTTCAAATGTCTTTCCCTTCATTTTAAACAATTAAATTTCGTCCTTCAAATAGCGAACAGCTAACTGCACGACCTCCTCGACACCGTTTCGAGTTTAAATCGTTATTTCAGGCATGTAGGTGAAAAACTAAGAATAGATTCAGTTAGAATAATTAAGCGTTCCTCTAAAAATTGTCTTTCATCCAGAATACAATCACACTATCAAATTTCTATGGAAATTGAATAAATAGAAAATAACGCACTTCGCTATCAATTGTCGTTGCAGTGAATCAAAACGTTTGAAGCTAATCTCGCTCGGAAATAAAACCTCTCGCAAAAGCGGGAGCAACTTATTACGAAAACGACAGACGCACGGACGTATAATTTATCACGCACCTCTGCTCTCGAAAGATTAAGATCCGCGTCCGCCCGCTGATAATTCTCGACGGCGCGCTCCGCCTCGCGGAAGGCCTTCTCGTAGGCCTTCCTAGCGCGCTCCAGGTTGTTGATCTGACCCGTCAGGGTGGCCATCAGCCGCGCGCCCTCCTGCAGGTGCTTCTTACGATCTTCCTTGAAATCCTTTACCAGGATATTCAGCTCCCGTAGGACGTTAGCCTGGAGATTCTCAGCGATCACCTCCCGCTGGCCAGCCTGGTCGTTCACCTCGTTCAGCTCCATCCTGAACGCCCGGCAAGGACTGTACCTGGCAAATCACAAGTTTCATTCTTCTTCCTGGTCTTTCGCTTTCATAAACCTACGTTATTTTTATCCCTTCTCTATTCTCTCCTTTTTATAATCAGCGATCCGCCTTTGCTAAGCCTCTTAGCTCCTTCTTTTTAACATTCTTGATATTTTTTCTCATTTTTCATTAATCTTACCGAATGCTTTGCATAATTGTTTTTTCCAAGTATAATTTAGTGGAGTTGGTGCGCGTATATAAAAAAAAAAAACACAATTTCTGACTCACAGCGCAATAGCGCCAACGCGCATTGATTTCGCAGAACGCGGGAAGCCTAAATCTCGGCCCACGCCGATTAGCGTGACATCCCTACGTTGGGCCAATTGAAAGCGCGAGGATCTATCGTGTTATTGAACTTATGAAGTGCCTCGCCCACGTCGCGAGATTAAATGGACTGTTTCTGTTTTGCATCGAAGTCCGCGAGGGTTTGCAGCTGAAGAATTTCGCGCAAAAAAATCCGTAGGTCGTTTCGCGACGCTTTAATCCTGATTTTGCTTTGGCTCCTATTTTAATCTTGACCCAACCGCACTCTCGCGCGCGCTTAATTACTCGCGCGATGCGCATTCTGCGCGCCGAGTCAGAAAATTAATTGTGACGCCTCAGAAGCTATGAAGTCAGATCCGCTTTGAGCGGAAAATGTAATATTTTCGTCGATTTGTCGAAGTATCCGAATAAATCTTTCGGTTCAGAAATACGACGCATAGTTCCAAGAATGGAGGTTACGTTTTGCTGCTGCGGAGATCGCTGGAAGCCTAACGCGTCGAAAACTGAATAACCATATTGCCGCTCTCGCCTTGATAGACAATTCCAGCATAGAAAGAAAAGGATATTATCCTTTTATTCGCTTTACAGTATCAATTTCCTTCGATCCAGTCGTATAATTTATCTCGACCGCAGGCAATTTAAATACATGTTTGTTACTCTTTCATGTTTTGTACACATATATGAACTCAATTTATCTAAGATCGCCGGTAACTCGAGAGAGGGGGAGGGGGGAGAGCTGCGCGCGCGCGCGCAGCTTTATACTTACTGATAATCTTCTTCCTCCTTCTTCTTCGGTTGATAGCCCTTCACGAGACGCCTACGACAGAGAAAGGAGATGCGAGATTATTGACGCACACGTATCATTTTTCTCACGGGGGTGATATAACATACTACTTTATACAATTAGCAGGAAGTATCGGTGTTAGGTAATCCGGATGTGATTCCGATAACAAATGAAAATAAGAAATTGTAATTATCTGCAATTTGACGAGTTTATATAAATAGGAAAAATTGTTATCTTACCTGCAAATTTTACGTTTTAACGTGCAATTTGAGCGAATCGAGAAAAAGATAATACAATCGGTGCGTGAGTATTTCTGAAGTTGAACATATGATAACAATTTTTACTAAGCTTATCGCGACTTAAAGTCACAAAAATAGTCGCTGCAACAACAACAATGCAATATTTCATAGTTTTTTACCAGCGTTTAATTCCTCTTTTGAAAACCATTCGTGTGCCTTGAAATCTACATACGTCGCTTCGAAATGCATCGAGAAGTTAGATCGCGAATTGCGCCGATAATCGAAGATGTATCAGATCGCAAGAGCGCGGCATTATTTTCGCATCCAGGCGTGCCGTTTTAATTTTTACGACGCGCCACAACGAACTATAAATACTCTATCGCGCTGAATCTTATGTACAGCGAACCAACGCGCAGAGAATTCCAAGGAAAACTCGAAGAAAACAAAAAGAGAGGAGAAAAAAAGCTGAATAATTCACTCCTTTGTTGCTAAGCTCGCAGATATATTTAAGATAATTCACGGTAAACTCGTGTAATTTCAAAAGAGCTGATTTCTCTTTGCTGATAAACACGCGACTGCTCCAAATATACTTCCGATTGTCGTCCAATTATCCGTGTTGCTTTACAAATGGCTGCCGAAATAATTTTTCGAGCTCGGGAAAGTAATTTCGGATTTTCTTACAGACGGTGTTATTTTTTTTATACAGCACGCTTAAGAAAATTCAAGCGCGATAGTTTAAGTTAAGAATAAATTTGATAACGAGACTCACAAAACCAATGTATGGAATGTTAAAGAAAGCTTGAAATTTTTATCTGGGATTGTATATGCTCTTAATCGATAATTTAGTTGATAATGAAACCAGTAATGTCAGAAATGCGAGCCACATGAAACTGTAATGACAGGATGACGCATACATTGAATACGTCATACATGTGTGCTGCGCAAAGCACGAAAACTTTCAAAGTTTATATCTCGATAAACAGTAAATAGATATTTTTGTACTTTTTTTTAAACTTAATTAGGTATTTTTTTTACTATGTACTAGTTTTTGGAGAAAATTTCTCCGACGCACAGATAACACTATCAAATTATCTAACTTTTGGTTCAATTATCTCTCAATAAATTAATATAAAAGAAATTTTGCAGTTCAATTGAACCTTAAATAACAAGTACAATAAATTTCAACAATTTTATTTTAAAAAATAAGGTATACGCTAGAACTCCCTTAAAAAATTATGATATGGACACTTGATTACAACTTGGAATATTTAATTTGTTCGCCAAACTGACAAAAAAGAAGACCAATTGATTAGGAAAACCCGAAATTATTACACAACTCGATAATTTTCCGGATATTATTCTAGCAAATTTTTCATTTTCAATTTCATTTTGAAATATACGCGTATATATTGTTGCTCCGAGCTCCTTGCAAATGCTTATAACTGTCCCGGATGTTACGTAGGTACTTTGATAATTTCCCGGTTATTTCATAAGTGGGTAATTTTTCGAATATTATACGGAAACGGAGTCGCGAAGGCAATCTTCCCAGAATCGTCTCGGAGCGCCCGGCTACTGACCGTGCGATTTTCACTACGAAAGTGAATCGAGAGCTGCCTTAAACATGGAAATTGCAGCGCAGAAGATGAGGAACGCACGCTCGCGCGATGATTCGTATGCAGCGACGAAGTAATTCGTGCGCGGCGAAGCGCGCCAAATCATTCCTCGTACCTGCGCATGCTTGGTCCAATTAACTTCCCTCGTGCAGTTTGAGGGTCAAAATCGATTCTGAGGGTCATAAAACCCTGCACACTTCCTGATCAAACGTGCCAATTTAATTGCGAATTTATGCGGCCTACGATTTGCATAATTAGACATTCAAATGCGTTGTAACAAAATGTTATGATAATTATAAATTTACTAAAAATAATTAAACAAAGACTAATTAATTTTCTTATGCAGCGGAGTTAAGAGAATCTTCAAACATTTCAAATAAAATAGTGAAATGACGGATTACTGAAATAAATATAAAAATACTTTCACCGCAAAAAAAATTAATAATTTCACTGTAATTACTTGCCTGCGATTTTTTAATTACGCCAAAGGACAAATTACGGACAATTATGACTAATATCGCATACAAGAGTGAGCGGAATTTTTTCGCACGGCGTGCAATAACGACAAAATAATTTAGTGTGACGCAAACCGAGGTAATTAAGCGTCAGAAATGGATGGATTTCGAGACACCCGATAGAACAAAAGTGCACCACAGTGGACGTATTCACGGAGCGGACAATGGACCCCTTTAATACATTATTACTGTATATTCCGCCTCGTCCCTGAACTCCGCGGGGTGCGTGAGACATGCTTGTTATACAGGATGTTCCATTGAAATCGGTTGCCTCGGAGGCCTCACCCTTTGTCAGGGCGTCTCAAAAAAAAAAAGCAGCACACATAGACGGATTGACCCGACGGGGTGCAAGGTGTAAGGTATACGAAAGCATAAAGAGACGCGGCGCACCTGCTTTTTCCCTCGTCTTTTCGCTTTACATTATTGTAAAAATTAGGGGAAAATATTTCTATTTCTCTGTTCTTTTGCTTTAAGTAGAAAAATCAGTAATAAAATTAATTTTTTTAATAAAAATAAACGCAAAATTTAAAATTAATTAATTAATTAATAATAATAAAATTTTAAAATTAATTATTTCTGTAAAATAATATTCTTTTCATTATTATGGTTTTGTAATAGTTCTGACGAGATATAATATTTTCAAATTTTTCAAATAAAGTTTTAAAATATAAACTATTTAAAAAAATTTAGGAGAAAAATCTAATCACACAATATAACAATAATTTTTCCGAATAATATAGAGAAAATTAAGCGGAAAGAACAATGACTTTTAACTGTTAAAATACTTCTATCAATATAATAGCTCAAAGCATCTCTGCTATTCATCTTGTCTTTTTGCTTTACATTATTGCAAAAATTAAGAAAAAATATTTCTATTTCTTTATGTTGTTTTGCTTTAAGTAGAAAAATCAATAATAAAATTAATGTTTTAAATAAAAATAAGCGCAAAATTAATTATTTCTGTAAAGTAATATTCTTTTCATTATTGTGATTTTGTAATAGTTCTGGCAAAATATAATATTTTCAAATTTTTGCCAAATAAAGTGATATGAAAAGTATCGATACTTCAATTATCCAAGATATCGATTTTACGTCTTTAAAAATCGATCTTCTTCAATTTTCTTCGTGTAATCTGCAGATAGCGTTGCTTTTCTTACCTGAGTTTTGCTGCATATTCGAATTCGATCGCGCAACGATCACGTATAAAATGGCCATATCTCTCGAGGAACTCTATCCCTTTTTGTGTGTGCTGTGATAGATTCTCAAACTGATCCTGAAAGCACAGATAGAGAAAAGAATAAAAATTAATGCTTACTTATTTATAATGCACACTTAAAATATTTTATCCACAAAGATATAAATACATGTTTCCATTCTCGATATTATAATTACATTTTTTTAAATGTCTGTGAAGCTAACATCCCGATCTGTCATAATCTTATCTTGTTTCCTACATCTTGCGAGCACCGAAATCAGGAAAAAACATTCTGAGGCTAAAACTGATTCTCCATCTCGATTTTATAAAGTACTTTACCCTCGTAAATCGTGATATCCTTTTAAATATTTGTCAGTTTAGCTTTTAAACTATAATAAACAAATTAGTTTTGTTTACGGCTTCCAAAAATAGCTAAAAAGCACTAAATTGTAATATTTATTTTTTAATATTATTTATATTATTTAATAATGAAGATGCTTCACGTAAAACTAGCATCTTCACTTTTTATCGCAAACTTCTGCTAAATAGCTCAAGCATGAAAATTAGAAATTAAATAGTCCTATTTCAACTTCTTTTTATCTTGATTATAACAAATTTTTAATTATAACAATTAATTGTAATAAATTTAATTAAACTAGATATACCGGCGCGCGTTACGCGCGCCATTTATTCTTCTAATTACAAAGAAATATATATTATAATTAAATTTTTAATAAAAGTAATATTATATAATATCATTATTTATCACACCACCATTACTGTTACAATATACAGCGTTATTTAACGTAAATCTTTTGATTCACGTGTAAAAATTAGTTAAACTTGGGTGATTAGATTATTACATAAATGTATAGTGTAGAATAATTCGAAAATAAATAATCGGACCACATTTCGAGCGAGCATTTATATTAAACCAATAGAGTTGCATCTTTGACGAAGTCAAAGTCGGAAATGTATCAAGATTCAAAGAAGACACTTTGAATATTTTCTATAAAACACAAAAAAGTACCTGCACTAACCGCAAGCCGTATAAATCATATGTAAAAATTAATGTTTAAGCAAAAGAACGTATGTCGTTTGGTTTTTCTTTTAAAATGTAATACACTGCTAAATATTTCTAAATATATGAACTGTCAAAGCACGCAATTTTCGCAATGACAACCGCTCGATAGCAACGCACAACGCGCATCGAAATAATCAGTCAGCGAAAAAGAGAATGAAAGTCTTTCATGCCCTTCTTAAGACAGGATTATATAAAAATTGCGAAATTGTATTATAAAATGTAACATATTTAAAAAAAATTAAGGAGCTCCGCTGAAATAAAACTTGACGCGTGATCCTCTCTACATTATTCTCTTCGGCGGTCTCAGCGTACAATAAAAGCAACTGGGTAATAATTATTAATAAGAAATAAGAAAACCATGCACTTATCTCTAAAAATAGGAGTTTCATTTCTAAAAACATGTTTGTCTAAATTGTCGATTTCGCCCGGCAAGAGAGTGAAGACTTTTCTCCGTCCGAACGAACAATCCGACCGTATCTATCGCGGTCGACGACTGAGAAAAACCTCTTGGCACACATACGCCCCTCGTTTCCTCCTCCTCCCCCTCCTCCTCCACCTCCTCCTGCTGCATCACTACCGCGGGACAATGAGGAATTTCGCAAGAAACGCGCGCGGTAGGATTTCTGAGCGCCGTTTAGCGGCCCGGCACGAAAAGTGAAACTGGACACTGCCGTTTAGTTATCCGAAGCGAAGTGTACAAATCAAGTTAATACATGCACTTGCAATTCGAACTAATTGCACGTATCGCGATTAAGCATCGTACGCCTTTTGTAAATTCGCGGCATTGTAACCGTCTTATTTTAAATCTATATTGCAATTTTTTCATCTTTTTCATAACAATTATACGAGTATTAATCGAGCGTAAAGATATCAATTAAAAGTTTTGAAAATCATCCGCCTCGCTCACTTTATCCCGCTCTTTGCCCTACATTCTTCAATTATAGAACAGAGAAGAAACATCATACGGCAGCTGCATTATATTTTAATAACACGTGAGTTTCGCTTCTACGCTCGAAAAATCGATGGGCCGCGTCACAAATAGCGGCGTTTCCGAGTCGAAATCTTTCTATTTAAGAAAGAATTCCAGTTTTATCTTTCAAGGACGATTATGTCTTCCAATGTTGAACCATGAAGTTGGTTTGAGGACAGACAATCGGGTCATATGAACGAGGGAGAGAGAGAGAGAGAGAGAGAGATGAAAGACACTCCGTAGGACTGGCATTCGAAACGCGCTACTTTCATTTCCAACGATCTGCCGTTCAAGGGCCACGCGCGCGCTTCTTACGGCTGTACGTGGCGCACGCGCGCGTCCTTCTTCATCTCCTTTCGCGATGTTTCACCTTGCTACCTTATAGCGTAAAAAAGGAACGAGATCTCGACCGGAACACCTGAGTTACGTGTGCACGATTTGCGGTTCGATTAGCCGAACGGCGCGGAACAGAAGAACTCATGCGAGATTTTTCTCCGCTCGATCAAGAATAAATTAATAAATAAAATCGACTCTCCCAGTAATTGCGTGGAGCAATAATCTCCTTTCTCTGTTTCAATTTTTTCCCGATAGATGATCGAATCCAGAGAAATCTCGAAGCATTTCACTATCCTCTTTTTCAATTTAAAAATTCCACGTAGTCAGTTTTTCTTTTTCTTTTTTGCTAAACTTCTCGTTTCCATAGTCCTTGAATTAATAAGGACTTGTTAAAGTGTACATTAGCTTCACAAATTTGTAGACTCGCTGAAGCGAGTCCGGATTCTCCAATTTGCAAATTCTAATCTCTTGATTAGCAGCAGCTTCTTTCGAAGCTGATACTATCGCAGTCAAAAGACGCCTTGCAATCGGTCCGAAGATAGACGACATTCGATAAATAGCTCTGGACAAGAATACAAGCGAAGAGAGATTCGGACAGCTCGACCGCTGCAAATTTAATCGACGGTTTACGGCGTTGATTTTACTCCACTCGAGATTTACGGCTCACGCAGAAAATTCGAGTCGGGTCGCGATCGCACGACCATGCGTCTCTCCATCTCGCGGATCGAAACAACTTTCTCATTGTGATAACTGTATAACCTGACTCGTGGCGAGCAATTTGCAATGAAATAACGGAGAACTGGTAGCGCAGGTGATAGTCGCAAACTAGTCGCGGCTTTCGAGCACACACGCGCGCGGAACGGCGGCGACGGGCAATAACCGATCGCTTGTTGTTCTTTTCTCTCCACGGCATGCGCGGTATCTCGGTGCGAATTATCAGATTTCGTTTTCCCGTCGCGTCGGATATCGCGACCGCGACACCGATAACACACCGCTAATTACGAACTAGTGTGGAAAAGTGGAAGCATGACGGCACGACGCGTATTTAAATAAATTGGAGCCCGTTCTGCGAATTTATATGTCTTTAGCTTGTCGGAAGCTTGAAGATTCTGAGATTTCCAGCGGAAATGTGTAACGCGTAATTTCCGTTAGAGATCGTTAGAAATATTTCTGGAATTTAATTGAATAGAATAATTTGACGCACCTTGAACATCCCGTTTTTTCGCTTATCGTCTGATTCTAAATTTTTGAGTTTGGAATTATTTTTAAATTATAGTACACAATTAAATTTTCTTTGTATAAACTGCAATATGTTTAACTTATAGATGTTTGCTCCGTTAAAAAAAAAAACAAGTTTAATAATTTTGGAGAGAAAAAGAAATGTTATTTCGAGCTTATTATGTTTCTCTGTAAAACCCTTTAAATGAAAACTTTTCCTCCGTCTTTAACTCGAAAGATGTGTATTCAAGCATTTTTGTTTTCGAAACTGAAACATCCTGAAGGTTCTTATATTCGAAGAATCAATAAAACATTCATTAAAAATTATTCAAGCATTCAAGAATGTTCGAATACAATTAAAACAATATTATTTAATTATATCGATTTTTTGTTTAAATATTTGCAATCTAATCATTCCTTAGCGCAATTCATTTAAACATTTGCGTGAATAAAATACGAAAACATTGTGATCATATCGAGCCTGTGTAAAAAGAGTCCACGTTTGGATAGCATCGAGTTTGTGAACCCCAGCTATCGATGACGACGACATTCATAATTCACCGAACGTCACCGTCCCTCCTCGGCCGAATCGATTATCAAGCGATTCGATGGAGAAACAAATTAAATTACACTCCATTATGCCGAATCGATTCTTACGCAGGGTGAGAGAGCCGTGAATCCGAAGCTCCGGCGAGCTTCTGCCGACCAATCCTGCGTTTCGTTCGTATTGCAGGTCGATACATGGAAAAACGCACGAGCTATGACTCATCGCGGTGCGACCTTCTCCAAAAAGGTACGCAAACCGGGATTGAGTGGACAATTCGTCGCAGACAAACAAGCAAAGAGACAGGTAAAAATGATTTTAAAAATATCAGCATTTACAACACGCTTCCCTCACTTTCCTTCTTGCAAGCGATTTATTTGCAGCACACAAATATGTAATAATCGAGCGATGTTAGTGATAGCATCACGCTATCCAAGAAACCAACAAACGATAAAAGTGTAAGAAAAACTGACACGAATACTTGATCCTGTAATTTATCTTGTGTTTGTGGCATGCAAATATGTAATGATCAAAGCATTACGATGATGTATCCCAGAAAGCAATAATGACAAGTCAGCAAAAACTGACCCAAATATTTCACCACGATTTATCATGAAAATTCCAAATACATAAATAAAGTAAAATAGAATATACAAAACAGGATAAAATTCCGCTTCCTTTAGTAAATACATTTCCTCTCATATCCTCTTTTACCCACAATTTCCGACGCAATAGATAATTATATTTTTAATTATAAAATCTAGGAATGTGGAGAAATGCGAAAATCTACTCTGATTGCGCGTTTGGAAAATTCCTTAAAAATCGCCTTCTTTTTCCTATACTTTTCCTATTCTTATCTTTTTCCTAAATTTTGGCATGCTTAGCGTCTACAGCAGCAATGAATTGTGGGGAAAGGACGAGAGAAG